AATGCTGAGAAATTTTCGACGAATCGTCTAAAATTTGTAAACAACCAGTTGTAAATAAAAATAGTAATGTTGCCAGCACTAGGTTCCAAACTCGATAAAGGAGAGAGGAAGAGCAAGATTGCTAGTATGATACAATAGATGAGGGGTCCTGCTAGAATAAGCTATGCAGGAAACATTTTGAACAACCTCACTAGAAAGGACTGGCCAAAGCAAACTCATTACTTCAAAATACTGTTATGTCGGAATATAAATGTTCCCCGTTACGTATTCACAGAGGCAAGAGTATTTTTGACAAAATGGAGTTAATCCACAAGATACAATTCAAACCCACCTTAAATGCAAGCACTATATAGTCTAGAAAGTCAGAACGGTAAAATAAGCTAAACCCCAATCATTATAATCGAAATCGAAAGAATAAGCAAAGTTATGAACTTCAGAAAAAATTTTATGCAAAAACGCCAGGATATTCGCTGTTTCCTATGTGACCTGAAATATGCAATAAACCCACTTTGCCTAGAGTTTCTGCATTCTGTTGGGAGGCATTAAACTCAGGGTCGAATATTTGTACAACACTTGTATCTGCCTCCTTTTCGTCCGACATAGGAGAAAGACTAGGAGATTTGGAAAATGATCTGAGTCGGGTCCTTGACTCCTCCTTATCAGGTAGCCGATCAAGAGCATCGGCCAGGGCGTCACTAATTGAGTCTTCTATAAAGTTTAACTCCTGTTTAACGAGATGGTCATTACTACTATTTTCGCGGAACATAGAAGATAAAATATTTTTGCCGCTTCTAGGCCGAAAATAAGAATTAGAGGGAACGGCACTCTCTCTCGTTGTTATTACAGGTATCATTTCCGATTGACGCGATAAAGGTAATTTAGGTGGGGAAGGAGCAGGTGAGAAGGCAGCAACAAGCTGAAGACTGCTGCAGGATGAAAAATAGGGAGAGACGGTGGGGGCCATATTCATGCCACTACTGATATATGAAGTAGAACCAGAAGCAGAATCCTTTGTCTGGGCTGGACGCACAAGAGAGAGTGTTCTAAAATTGGCCGCAGGAATTGGAGAGTTACATAAGGCAGTGGAGTTTGGTTGGGACGAAGAAGGCATGGACATTGAGAAGGAAGATTGTGAAGGCGGCTGGTCAGGTACAGATACCTCAGAAGAATAAAGACGAGCGATTTCTATGGGCGAAATAAAAATATGTAGATTTTAAATCTAGAAAAAATTATAAGTAAAATATTAAATACTTAATTATAGAGGCAACTATAAGTGCAGTCATACAAAAGATGAAAGTGAGAAAGAAATGAATAATATAGATAAGGAAATCTAAGAAAATGAAGATGAAAGAAAATGTTTTAATGCATTAGTTATATATTTAAGCACGAAAGAAATAATTATAATTATTGATTTAAGATTCTTTAATGGAAGATTAAGTAACTATTTTCTTTTTATACTATGTCCTGATGTTCCACTTCATCGTTTCGGGAAGTTTCAGACACTTTCCAAACCGGTCTACTATACGAGGGATACCTGCCAGCGAGGTCATCTGAACCTTAAACAGCCTGTAAAGGTTTTTGGTTCAAAAAATCAGAACTATTTGAGCACAACACAAACAGGAGACCAGATAGACTGGTTTAAGGCCAAACGTTTAGCTGGATATGGAGACTATACTAGTAAGCGGAAGATTAGAGAATATATAGAAATTAATAAAGCAGCCAAAACACTGAATAGAAGGAATGAATATAAGAAATGAAACTGAAACAGCATTTGGCTGTTGGATAGGATTGAAGGGAGAGGAAGAACAAGTATTAATGCCGAGTCTCAAATCTGGTTTTCACTCTCACCCTATGCGTCTCACAAGCATTGCATGTACACAATACAAATGCAATGAAACTCACCAGCGACGAAATTGTGAGAACAAAGATATGAGTGAATTAGAGGAGAATGCAGTTGTTCGATCACAAGTGCACCCGTATAAATCTTGAGATACAGCCACTTCATTTTTAAACAGCATGTAGGAAAAGCATTGGATATCAAACCTTATCAGAAAATGTCTCCCCGAAAGGAGATAGTTAGGCTATAAAAAGTAGATACGAAGAGAAACTTGGTTTCGATGAATCTCCTGAGATAACATTGTTAGGGGGACCTTCATTTCATATGAAAGTGCATGAAAAAGAGATTCGTTGGTCGATCTCACCAGATGAGGACAGATGAATGTCGTTGTACTGCAGCCGTTTGGATTTTATACGATATTCATGTTGACGTAGTTTCGGGTGAAAACGTGCTGAGTTTTTGTCCATCATATGATGGACATCATCAGAGCTGGGTGTCATTCTTGTAAAAGTTTCAAGTTAACACTAGGCCAAGAAGACTATCCAACTTTATCCTACCTCTTATATAGACTTAATAAAGACAAATTAAAATTAAAAACCTAGATAGATATAGAGTGGTTTTTGTAATTATCTTTCATACTTGTCCTGCTACTTTTGCTCGAGTTTGTGCGTGTGTGTTAGCGTCCATACGCAACACCGGTCCTAAATCAGAGTTATCAAAAGATTAAAGTTAGGATCTGATCCTCAAGTCCTAATGACCACAAAGAAAACCCTGACCGAGACTGTATAAGTCCGTAAGCAAGTATGATTGAGATAATGAGATATGAGCTTATAAGCATGTAAATCAAGTTATGAAACCACTTTTCCTAACCTCTCAGTCTAGGTTCATTAACGTTTAACCCTCTAAGGAAAGGCATGACTAGGGCTGCGTAATTTGGCACGTCTGGTTTGGTTG